AACCCACTCACGAAGCTGCTGAGGGGTGGGGTCGTCCGGGAGAAGCAGTGCCCGCTGCTGTCCACCCCTGGCCGCAGCGACTGCCGCGGAAGTGGCCATGACAGACAGTGACTGTCAGGAGTAGGTCCAGCACCTCCAGCTCCTACAGCGCCAGCAGCACCTCCTACACTCCCAGCAGCACCTCCTCCACTCCCAGTAGCACAAGTAGCAGCAGCAGCAGTAGTAACAGCAGCAGGGCGGTTCGGTGGGGGTGGGAGGCCGCACCTCCACCACTCCCAGCAGTACTCCCTCCAGTAGCAGCAGTAGCAGGGCGGCTCGGGCAGCAGCAGCAGACCGAGCAGCAGCAGCAGCAGCAGTAGCACTAGCTGTAGCAAGTGCAGTAGTAGGAGCTGCAGCAGTAGCACTAGCTGTAGCAAGTGAAGTAGTAGGAGCTGCAGCAGTAGTACTAGCTGTACCAAGTGAAGTAGTAGGAGCTGCAGCAGTAGCTTCAGTCAGGAGCAGCTGCAGTAAGTGCTGGAGTAGGAGCTGCAGCAGTAGCACTAGCTGTAGCAGAAGTAGCTTCAGTCAGTACCAGCTGTACCAAGTGCAGTAGTAGGAGCTGCAGCAGTAGCACTAGCTGTAGCTGGAGTAGCTTCAGTCAATAGTAGCTGTAGCAAGTGCTGGAGTAGGAGCTGCAGCAGTAGCACTAGCTGTAGCAGCCGTAGCTTCAGTCAGTAGCAGCTGTAGCAAGTGCCGTAGTAGCAGCAGCAGCAGTAGCACTAGCTGTAGCAGCACTAGCTTCAGTAGCAGCAGCAGTGAGTAGCGCTAGCTGTAACAGGAGTAGCGTCAGTAGCAGCAGCAGTGAGTAGCGCTAGCTGTAGCAGCAGTAGCTTCAGTAGCAGCAGCAGTGAGTAGCACTAGCTGTAGCAGCACTAGCTTCAGTAGCAGCAGCAGTGAGTAGCACTAGCTGTAGCAGCACTAGCTTCAGTAGCAGCAGCAGTGAGTAGCACTAGCTGTAGCAGCAGTAGCGTCAGTAGCAGCAGCAGTGACAGCTCGGGCTGGGCAGCGCGTAGTAGCAGTAGGCGCGCGTGGGCTGTGGGCGTGCCAACTAGGGGCGCGCAACAGGTGCGTGCGGGGCGGCACTACGAGGAGCGCGCATCAGGTGCGTGCTAGGGGCTGGCGGGCAGCGTGAGTGGCGCGCGCAGCAGCAGGAACGAGGGGGGGACCGGGCGTAGGGGCTGACGGGCCGCGCGAGAGGCGCACGGGGCAGCTAGGGCTCGGTCAGGGGGGTCGCACGTGACTAGGAACAGAAAATCGCGTCTAGGCAGAAAAGGGAACCGTCTCGCCTAGGGCACGTTTTCGCATTTCGCGTTTCTCCTAGGGGCGCGACTCGGGCAGCAGGTCGAAATAGTAGTGGTGGGCCCTTTTAAAATTTCGGTCCTAAGGAGCATTGTGCTCTTAATACCATGTTAGAGTTACTAGCTAGATGAGTGAGTTCGATTAGGTAAGGGGGGGGGTACAAGGACTATCGAGAGAGATTGTTGTACCCTCTAAGGAAAGAACCCTACACAACCTAGAGTGAAATAAGCAGAACAATATGTTTTGACAGGCGGGAGAGAGTGAGGGCGGGAGGCACAGGGGGCGAGGGAGGGGAGCGACGGGAGCCGCGCGAGGGCGGGAGAGAGTGAGGCATCCCAAAAAAGTCCCCCGCAATTTTCTACCCCAAGGTCACATCAGGGTTACCCCGATTGGTGATACCCCAATGTCGCCAACAGTGATACCCAAATGTTACCCCGGTCGAGGATTCAGTTCGTTGTCACACTGGGGTGACCCCGAGATGTGACCCACATGTTACCTCCCGCGAAGTTTGGGCCCAACCACGTGCGTTCCCGCTTCCCGCTTCACGCGAGCCGCTTCCGCGCTGTAAACTTTCTCGATTTCAACAATAACATATATACAGCACATTATGTTCTTTTTTGTCAACTAAAACTGCATTTATAAATCTCATTCGGCTATAACCACAATTAGTATTGATATTAATCAATTACAGTTAATTTGGTCACAGGCTGCTTAGTGTCAGTATAATATGTATGCAGAAGCTGGTCGATTCCATTAATCAATCTGCACATTTTAAATAAAGCATTACAGAACACTTTCTGACATGCAGACAACGTGCACTACTCTGCAGACACAGCGCGTTATAAAAGCTGTGTTAATCACTCAGGAAAGCTCCAGCATAACCTCACTACCCTATGTAGATGATGGTTTGCTCCTGCAACACACAACACAAAGAAAACAGGAACACACGAGACTGCAGGATTCCTACCACACGAATACGTGACAGGATCGCCTTCCGTATTCTGCACCAAGTGGCGACATTCAGACAGGGGGAGGGTGGGTTAGAGTGAGAGTAGTGAGAACAAAGCGGAGAAACATCGGTACAAGGTATACGAGGAAACATTATTGTCACGCCACAGGTGTCTATTATGCACCGCATGCTCACCAGTAGAGAAATCTGGCCAGATACGAAGCTAGTTGGTGATACAGCATCTGCAAAACCTTTGCGGCAGAGGCAACGAAACTCGATGACCGTACGGAAGATGGAACCGAGGAAGCGTTCTCACGACATCGCGGCCCGCGAAGACACATTCTAGACCTCCACACATGAGCGCCTGGCACGACGGTTGACGACGCCTGCAAAGAAATTCACATGGCGCGAGGAAACAATAAGCAACTGACAATAAAAGAGCACATTAACATGCACGCCAACAATCACCAGGGTATTGACGTTGCTTAACAACGGAAAGAGTAAACCCGAAGCTAATCTACTTATCGTTCAAGTATAAACTCCAGAAAGGTCTAGGAAATCTAGGCAGCGTAAAATGCGGACATGGCGGCGAGTTAAAGCCCGCGTCCCAAATTGCGGGCCGCGAGGGTCAAGTTTTTAAAACTTGACGAAGTTGAGTGTCCAAGCTTTTGAAAGTCACGCACTTGCAATTTGGGACTTTCGAAGACAGATTCACTCACCAGGGGGAAAACCGAGGGTTGGCTGGGTCTCGCGAAAAAAACGAACCTAGACGAAATCGGAAACTCTCGCCAAAGCCCACACCAGAAAAACTCCCTCTGGTCAACTTTTAAAAGCATGAACAATTTGGGCCGCCGGCTTTAAGAGAAATCCTAGAACTCAAATAGCTTGGCAGTGATAAATAATGAGGGAAGTGGTCGAGATGGGATTGTGAAATACATCCAGGAGGGACTCTTTTGCTGAAGTGACTAGGACAAATGTGATTGGTGTACGAAATCCTTGCTGCCACCTAGCGAAACACATCAGTAGATCCTCAATACAGAGAATCTCGATACCTAGAAATTATAGTTGAACATAGCTGCTGTTATCATGACGAGAACGTGTACAGTGCCTGCGGTCAGCTGTTGTTGCCGAAACAGTGTGCACTAACCAGGTGAGCAGGCTCGATCCGAATTTGTGGGGGTATCCCCTGGGTTACAACGAACTGGAGCTCTCCCCTGATTGGTCCGCTTTCATCACCCGAAATCCCAATCGCGAGAATTACCACTTCGCAGAGATCGCCAGCCCTCTGGGGTAACCTGCGGGCTGATGGGTGGGAACATCAGGGTTACCCCCCGAGTGTGACCTGGGGGTATCCCACGCTTTCCAGCCGATATCGGCCTCGTGATTTTTGGGATGGGGTCGCTGGAGCGGCGGGACTAACAAGTGACATTTCGGACCTCGTAACAAGTGACTTCCGAACAACAGTAAGGATCGCCCGCAGTCGTGAAGCGTCGCAACCCTGTCTCGGGACAGCGCGGCCCTTTACCACCGTAGTGGGTGTTCCATACAAAGTCTGAGAACCTCAAGTGCGACTGTGTTTCTCAAGTTTTCTTTAAGAATTTTGGCGTATTTTCCGCTAGTAGTAGCGGCGAACGGAGACGGCGGGACTCCCAGCGACGGGACGGGTAGCCACTCGCTCCGCGAGCCGCGACTCCGAGTCGCGGAAGGAAGTGAGAGACAAACCTTTTGAAAATCGGGAGCGTGGGAGCTGCTGTCAGTGTAGAAGCTCGGTGTGCCTCGGGGTCAAACAGTGGGGGCTCGACTGAGTACCTGAGGTGGGGATCGTGGCGAAGGTGGGTATTCTTTTAATGAATACATCCGTTTGCCGCATCTCCACGCTTTTTCCAGCAAGTTGTACGTGTTTCCCTCAGCCACGCTTTCTACTACCACCCACCGCGTACAGACCTCGTTCTCTCAGGTCTTGCTGCTGTGCGCACTGCGATGAATGTGGAGGGGGCTTGCGCTCCAAGCCCCATCGGCCGCGATCATGCGAATGATCATGTCGCGGAGCCTGCAGCGCGTCGCGGGCCCGCCGGGGCGACGCATCAAGGAGGACCCAGTGGGCGCACCGTCGCAGCCGCTCTCATGGCGGCGCCACCGTGGCTGTGGATCGCAGCTTGCGTGGCCGTTGTTGTGTGCTGGCTCCTCGTCACCAGTGCCCCGGTGAGAAAGAAAAAAAAAGGCTTTCTGCGCTGCGCACACGCAGGAGCTGCAACGGACAGGAGAATTATGTCTTTGGTGGTTAGTTCAAACGCGGTCAAGCACGTGTGAATCTAGGATCCCAATCAAGCTCGCCTGGCCACGCTTTTTAGAGTGCTAACCTGCTATTGGATCTTGGTTCGGCATCCCCCTTTTTTTTGTCGTTCATCATCTGTGTCTTCAATGCGTCACACGCATGCTCATTCGAAAGGCACCACCACACAAGCTTTCTTGGGCCCTGTCAAAGAATCTACCTCCTCACCTCATCATCTCTCCAAGAGAAGGTCATCTCATCGCTTACCCATTTCAGGCTCATCATGATCAATCTTCGCTCCTCTCACGTAGTCCTGTTGCTACCCTTTTCCCTCCTTGGACATCCATCCTCACACCTCCCCAGGCGGGCAACAGCCAGCTCCAGGACCCCTCCCCTCTCACATGATCGCGTTTCTGGCATCTTCAACAATCAAAAGCCTTGATGCTACCTTCTTCCCTCCTTGGCCATCCATCCTCAAACCCCACCTTCCAGGCGGCCTACAGCCAGCTCCAGGACCCCTCCCCTCTCACATGGTCTCCCTTTGCGGGGGAACGGCCTGGCTGTATTCTCACCCTCGACACGCGCTACAGCCCTGAACGCGTGCAGGCAGTAGAGGCGGCTGTAGCACAACTGATGAGGAACCTTGGGATAGAAGAAAAAGGGGACGGGGGTGGGCCTGGTGGGGGGTGGTTAGTGCAAAAGGGAAGGAAACTTGGAGCAATGGAGGATGCTGTTGCGCAGCTGGTGAGGCGCTTGGGGATGTGGGGGGAGGGAGGAGGCAAAAGCGGAGGGGAAGTGAGGGGGGAAAGGGTAAGGGAAGTGGAACGGGAGGGGGACGGGCCGAGGGAAGGGTTGACCTTGGGAGGTACAAGGGAAAGGGGGATCAAGGAGGGTGGTTGGAGAAAAGGGGGAGGAAGGGGAGGATATCATGGGGCAGGGGACGTGGGAGACGGCTTGTTGTTTGATGAGGTGGGACAGGATGACGACGCTGCTGGCCTCCAGGAGGGGCAGGGAAGCGAGTCAGAGGGGGAAGGTGGGGAAAGTGACACACTGGAAAGGGGACGTGGGCTGTTTGCACGAGGGGACGAGGTGCGTGAGGTGTGGAGGCGGTTCTACGAGAGTCTTCCCAAGATGCTGGATGGCCATGGCAGGGAGCAGCTCTACAAGTTCCCCATCTGGCTCGCTCTAGCTGTCAACATGTGAGTGAGCGAGGTGCAATTCTGTCTTGTGCATGCCACAGCGTGTTTTATATAAGAGTCACGCAAAGGTGTGAATTACATTCGGCTAGTTTAATCCAAAACAGCGTTTGTTAGGCTCACTCCGACGTTCGACAGTTTCCACATTCCATGTTCCCTTCCCCCCTCATTCCTGTTCCCCCCACATTCCTGTTCCCCCCACATTCCTGTTCCCCCCACATTCCTGTTCCCCCCACATTCCTGTTCCCCCCACATTCCTGTTCCCCCCACATTCCTGTTCCCCCCACATTCCATGTTCTCCCCACATTCCATGTTCCCCCCACATTCCATGTTCCCCCCACATTCCATGTTCCCCCCACATTCCTGTTCCCCCCACATTCCATGTTCTCCCCACATTCCATGTTCCCCCCACATTCCATGTTCCCCCCACATTCCATGTTCCCCCCACATTCCATGTTCCCCCCACATTCCATGTTCCCCCCACATTCCATGTTCCCCCCACATTCCATGTTCCCCCCACATTCCATGTTCCCCCCACATTCCATGTTCCCCCCACATTCCATGTTCCCCCCACATTCCATGTTCCCCCCACATTCCATGTTCTCCCCACATTCCATGTTCCCCCCACATTCCATGTTCTCCCCACATTCCATGTTCTCCCCACATTCCATGTTCTCCCCACATTCCATGTTCCCCCCACATTCCATGTTCCCCCCACATTCCATGTTCTCCCCACATTCCATGTTCTCCCCACATTCCATGTTCTCCCCACATTCCATGTTCTCCCCACATTCCATGTTCTCCCCACATTCCATGTTCCCCCCACATAGTTCTCCCCACATTCCATGTTCTCCCCACATTCCATGTTCTCCCCACATTCCATGTTCTCCCCACATTCCATGTTCTCCCCACATTCCATGTTCTCCCCACATTCCATGTTCTCCCCACATTCCATGTTCTCCCCACATTCCATGTTCCCCCCACATTCCATGTTCTCCCCACATTCCATGTTCTCCCCACATTCCATGTTCCCCCCACATTCCATGTTCTCCCCACATTCCATGTTCCCCCCACATTCCATGTTCCCCCCACATTCCATGTTCCCCCCACATTCCATGTTCCCCCCACATTCCATGTTCCCCCCACATTCCATGTTCCCCCCACATTCCATGTTCTCCCCACATTCCATGTTCCCCCCACATTCCATGTTCTCCCCACATTCCATGTTCTCCCCACATTCCATGTTCTCCCCACATTCCATGTTCCCCCCACATTCCATGTTCCCCCCACATTCCATGTTCTCCCCACATTCCATGTTCTCCCCACATTCCATGTTCTCCCCACATTCCATGTTCTCCCCACATTCCATGTTCTCCCCACATTCCATGTTCCCCCCACATTCCATGTTCTCCCCACATTCCATGTTCCCCCCACATTCCATGTTCTCCCCCACATTCCATGTTCTCCCCACATTCCATGTTCTCCCCACATTCCATGTTCTCCCCACATTCCATGTTCTCCCCACATTCCATGTTCCCCCCACATTCCATGTTCCCCCCACATTCCATGTTCTCCCCACATTCCATGTTCTCCCCACATTCCATGTTCTCCCCACATTCCATGTTCTCCCCACATTCCATGTTCTCCCCACATTCCATGTTCCCCCCACATTCCATGTTCTCCCCACATTCCATGTTCTCCCCACATTCCATGTTCCCCCCACATTCCATGTTCTCCCCACATTCCATGTTCTCCCCACATTCCATGTTCTCCCCACATTCCATGTTCTCCCCACATTCCATGTTCTCCCCACATTCCATGTTCTCCCCACATTCCATGTTCTCCCCACATTCCATGTTCTCCCCACATTCCATGTTCTCCCCACATTCCATGTTCTCCCCACATTCCATGTTCCCCCCACATTCCATGTTCTCCCCACATTCCATGTTCTCCCCACATTCCATGTTCTCCCCACATTCCATGTTCTCCCCACATTCCATGTTCTCCCCCACATTCCATGTTCTCCCCACATTCCATGTTCTCCCCACATTCCATGTTCTCCCCACATTCCATGTTCTCCCCACATTCCATGTTCTCCCCACATTCCATGTTCTCCCCACATTCCATGTTCTCCCCCACATTCCATGTTCCCCCCACATTCCATGTTCTCCCCACATTCCATGTTCTCCCCACATTCCATGTTCTCCCCACATTCCATGTTCTCCCCACATTCCATGTTCTCCCCACATTCCATGTTCTCCCCACATTCCATGTTCCCCCACATTCCATGTTCTCCCCACATTCCATGTTCTCCCCACATTCCATGTTCCCCCCACATTCCATGTTCCCCCCACATTCCATGTTCTCCCCACATTCCATGTTCCCCCCACATTCCATGTTCTCCCCACATTCCATGTTCTCCCCACATTCCATGTTCTCCCCACATTCCATGTTCCCCCACATTCCATGTTCCCCCCACATTCCATGTTCTCCCCACATTCCATGTTCTCCCCACATTCCATGTTCTCCCCACATTCCATGTTCTCCCCACATTCCATGTTCTCCCCACATTCCATGTTCCCCCCACATTCCATGTTCTCCCCACATTCCATGTTCCCCCCACATTCCATGTTCTCCCCACATTCCGTGTTCTCCCCACATTCCATGTTCTCCCCACATTCCATGTTCTCCCCACATTCCATGTTCTCCCCACATTCCATGTTCTCCCCACATTCCATGTTCTCCCCACATTCCATGTTCTCCCCACATTCCATGTTCTCCCCACATTCCATGTTCTCCCCCACATTCCATGTTCTCCCCACATTCCATGTTCTCCCCACATTCCATGTTCTCCCCACATTCCATGTTCCCCCCACATTCCATGTTCTCCCCACATTCCATGTTCTCCCCACATTCCATGTTCCCCCCACATTCCATGTTCCCCCCACATTCCATGTTCTCCCCACATTCCATGTTCTCCCCACATTCCATGTTCTCCCCACATTCCATGTTCTCCCCACATTCCATGTTCTCCCCACATTCCATGTTCCCCCCACATTCCATGTTCTCCCCACATTCCATGTTCCCCCCACATTCCATGTTCTCCCCACATTCCATGTTCTCCCCACATTCCATGTTCTCCCCACATTCCATGTTCTCCCCACATTCCATGTTCTCCCCACATTCCATGTTCTCCCCACATTCCATGTTCCCCCCACATTCCATGTTCTCCCCACATTCCATGTTCTCCCCACATTCCATGTTCTCCCCACATTCCATGTTCCCCCCACATTCCATGTTCTCCCCACATTCCATGTTCTCCCCACATTCCATGTTCTCCCCACATTCCATGTTCTCCCCACATTCCATGTTCTCCCCACATTCCATGTTCTCCCCACATTCCATGTTCTCCCCACATTCCATGTTCTCCCCACATTCCATGTTCTCCCCACATTCCATGTTCTCCCCACATTCCATGTTCTCCCCACATTCCATGTTCTCCCCACATTCCATGCCCCAGATTCCGTTCTTCCACTCACATTCTGGCGGTATGCATGACGGCATGCTCATGGAAGAGAAGTCAACTTGGTCTTCCAAGTCAAAGCAGGTCTTCTTTTTTATCTGCCCGCATCCGCAGGCTGTACGCACGGAGGCATGGGTACCGGCTGGTGGTGGAAAACGGGTCGAATTTCATCGAGGATAGGCATCCATCATGGTTCAAGGTGAGCATAACACCAGCCCACACCACACACAGAAAGTGTGAGGGGTATTTTTGAGGCGTCTCAAAAGTGTGAGGGGTATACAACTATGGTCGCACGTGAAAGCAGCCAAAGTGGTGCACCCAGCACGTGAAAGCAGCCAAAGTGGTGCACCCAGCACGTGAAAGCAGCCAAAGTGGTGCACCCAGCACGTGAAAGCAGCCAAAGTGGTGCACCCAGCACGTGAAAGCAGCCAAAGTGGTGCACCCAGCACGCGAAAGCAGCCAAAGTGGTGCACCCAGCACGCGAAAGCAGCCAAAGTGGTGCACCCAGCACGTGAAAGCAGCCAAAGTGGTGCACCCAGCACGCGAAAGCAGCCAAAGCGGTGCACCCAGCACGTGAAAGCAGCCAAGGTGGTGCACCCAGCACGTGAAAGCAGCCAAAGCGGTGCACCCAGCACGTGAAAGCAGCCAAGGTGGTGCACCCAGCATTGTTCAAGTTTCTTCTTCTTTTTCTTCTCCCCCCTTTTTTTTTCTAGGGTCTACTAGAGGAGGCAAACGGTGCAGTGGTTGTGGTTCAAGTGTAATAATCCTATGCATGCTCGCAAGTGCATCTTGCGCATGCACCTGTTAACTGCACCTTGCACGCGTGCCTTGCGCCCACTCTTGCAAGCACACACCCTCACATGCATGCATGCACGTACAAAGACACACACTCAAGGAGAGAAAGAACAACCCCTCTCCTCTCACTCGTCCCTCCCACCCCACGTGACATCCACCTATCAATCTCAGCCACAGACGATTTTGAGGCAGTTACACACACATGCACTTGCGTATGCAGTGGCATCATACGATAGTATCAAACTTATTGATACCTGTGCAGGTGCCCTTCATAGCGGAACAGCTCTCCTGCTGCTGCAAGTGGGCGTTGTTCCTTGACTCGGATGCATACATGCGCATGAATCACCACCAGCTGTCCATTGAAGCTTGGATTGAAGCCATAAAGCAACCGGTGAGCCATAAAGCAACCGGTGAGCCATAAAGCAACCGGTGAGCCATACACAACTCTTTACCTTAAATCCAGGAAGCAGTCGTCCTGGGCTACGTTCTACACCCATCGGTTTCCACTGTTATTGTTCTACACCCATCGGTTTCCACTGTTATTGTTCTACACCCATCGGTTTCCACTGTTATTGTTCTTCACGCCATCGGTTTCCAGTGTTATTGTTCTACACCCATCGGTTTCCACTGTTATTGTTCTACACCCATCGGTTATCATGAAGCTTTTACTCCGCTGCTATTTGTTTCTTTCCTGTCCATTTCCCCCACATTGACTTTCTGAACGACCAAAGCCTCCCTCCCTTCTGCCCCCTCATCTCAGCCACTGATACCTCAGCCACTGATACCTCAGCCACTGATACCTCAGCCACTGATACCTCAGCCACTGATACCTCAGCCACTGATACCTCAGCTTCTTCATTCAAAAGGTCATTCGGTACCAAACAGGCAGAATCGCTCAAGGGGCTGCACCTCAAATCAAGACCCATCTCTCCCTTTCCTGCTGTTCTTCATCTCACCGCTCTCTTCCCCACACTCTCTCACTCACCCCTCCCTCTTCCCCCCACCCCTTCTCCCTTGCTTCAGAACTATTTCAGCTGGTTGACAGATGCCAATGTGACGGCCACACTCAAGGGGCAGGTGTGGGTTCCGCAGGACCCCGCTCTGTTGCTACAACCGGCAACCGTGCTACAACCCAACGGACCAATAGCGCTCATTCCTAGGAATGGTGATTTCGAAGGAGGGTATTACGGGCAGCCGGAAGCACTGTTTGGAGTAGGGTGTGATTACATTAATGCCGGCGTCATGCTGTGGCGGCTGTCTCCTTTGAGCTTTAAGGTGAGAACAAGGGGTGTTACGTAATAAAGTGAGGAGTTTACATGGAAGTTGTGGGTGCTGCTTTGGAAGGGATCGAGGGACGAGACGAGAAGGTAAAGCTCCACTCGATTGTTTTGTTAGTTTCGTATAGACCAATGCCCTGTCCAAACGGCCTGCCCTTGCAGTTCTTCAGGCACTGGTACGACTTGGGAGGAGACATGTACCATCGATATTACCCCCCCTGGGAGCAGCCACACCTGAATTGGGTTGCTCGAGATCCAAAGTGGCGGAACAAGTTGATTGTGGTTCCGTACCGCGAGCTTACTGGCCCCCAAGGAATGATGGTGCGACATGTGTGGGGCGATCTGCAGGAGCAGGGGTTAAGTCGAGATCAAATGGTGTTTGAAACACTAGAGATGCTTAGCACACACAAATAAATTCCTACGGTGTCATGTGTAATGTGTTGTGGGTAGCTTGATAAACTGTAAGCGTTAACCCTCTTTTTTTAGAGTACCCTGTTGTGCGTTTCAGCAATGCTCTGTTCATGGTATTCAGTTTTAAAGGCCCCACTTCCTTCAGCTTATATACACTAGTAAAACCGCCACATCAGAAATTTGACAATGTACGTAGGCAACTTTTAAATGAAAAATCTAACCAACACGGGGGTCACATGTCCAACCCTTGTTATGTACTTGGAGATGAATGATTGGCTCTTCCTAGTCGCCTTGCTGCGTTACAGCTAGTTGCGTTTCCTGAATACACAATTTTGGAAAGTGTTTACACTTTCAAAGAGAATCATAATCATGGAGAAAGCAGAGAATGAAACACATAAGGGCATGTTCCTACGACCTCATATCAGGAAACCTCGTATCAAGAATGTACTTTTAGCCTGGTAAAACTAGCGAGAGGTTTTGGGTTTAGGGGAATTTTCAGTGTGAGCCTGATACGAGGTTGTCTTGATACGAGGATAGGAACACGCTCTAAGAATGACAAGTGGCACCAGAAGATTCCCATCACTGACACCACGAATTCCTCATTCTGCCATCTAGCTGTCTTGCTGTCTAGCTGTCATGCTCTCATGCTGCCATGCTGTCACGAGGACGAGGCCACCTGTGATGCCACCTCAGATGCAAAGTCCTTGGACTCCCTGCCACGTGGCATCATTGCAGTACAGAAATGGGTAGTCAGCCACTTGTGAGGAGGTGTAACAGTAATGCCATGCACCAACGGCTAAAATCAGTTATACTAGTCCATAAGTATCAGCCTTACTAGTCAATGTTATACGGATAAGAATTAGTCATACTAGTCAATAATGTAAGGGTTAGAACCCAGCCATACCTTTCAATGCCTTCCCCAACCTCCAGCCGTAAGAAGTGCTCCACTTGGATCGTTGCCCCCGCCTTCTTGGAAGATTCTGCTAGCACTTTCTGTGCGACATGGGACGGAGCACATACAGCAGAATGTGGGTGGAAGAGTATGCAGAGCAGAATGAGTTCACACAAGCATGCAGAGCAAGGAATCACAGAAGAATTTCGCGGAGAAGGGCGTGGGGAGAAGGGCGTGGGGAGAAGGGCGTGGGGAGAAGGGCGTGGGGAGAAGGGCGTGGGGAGAAGGGCGTGGGGAGAAGGGCGTGGGGAGGCGGTGTAGCAACAACAATTATGGGCTGCATGCATGTTCCCATGGGCTGCATGCATGTTCCCATGGGCTGCATGCATGACCCCATGGGCTGCATGCATGACCCCATGGGCTGCATGCACGTCCCCATGGGCTGCATGCACGTCCCCATGGGCTGCATGCATGTCCCCACCTGCACCGTTCTCTTGTCATCCAGCGTAGCGCATAAGCCTGTTCCAGCAGCAGCACCTCTCCATATGTACAACCTGCTCATACCACACACCAACCACTCGGCACCCACCTGCACCGTTGTCTTGTCATCCATGGCATACGCCTGCTCCATGAGCAACACCTCGCCGTAGAACTTCCCCAGCCGCCCCGCCACCATCTTCTCCACCACGCGTGCTGGCTTGCCCGCTGCCGCCGCCTGCACGGGAGGGGAGAGAGATGAAGAATAAAAGCGGAACCTCAAAAAGCCTGCCACTGGCAAACCCTCTGCCGCCACTGGCAAGCCCTCTGCCGTGCATAAAGCGTGCATGGAAGTAGAGAGAGAACTAGAGGAGGCTCAAAAGGCTGCCACTGACAAGCACTCAGGCACCACGTTGCTAAATTCCCCACTGGGGCTGCTCCTCATGCTTTCTTCTGTGGCCTGAATGGCGAGAGGGGTGGGGGGACGGAACGGCCCGCCAGAGGGAGAGGAGATTTAGAGCTGACCATTTGCACAAGCGTTGACCCACCAGTTGACTAGCGTTGACCCACCAGTTGACTAGCGTTGACCCACCAGTTGACTAGTGTTGACCCACCTGTTGTTTACTAGTGTTGACCCACCTGTTGTTGACTAGTGTTGACCCACCTGTTGTTTACTAGTGTTGACCCACCTGTTGACTCGCGTTGACAAACCTGTTGACTCGCGTTGACCCACCTGTTGACTCCCATTGACCCACCTGTTGACCAGAATTGACCCACTCTGACCTGGGCTCGTAGCACATCACTCTCCTTCTCCACCACCTCCCCTGGCACGTCCTCTCGCCTCAAGTACAGCGGCCTCATCGCCACCACATGCATCGCCACTCCTTCCCCCACCGCCGCTGCTGCCTCTGCCGCTCCTTCCCCCCCTCCTCCTGCCGCCTCCGCTGCTGCTGCCTCTGATCCTGTGTCTTCTCTGCTCCCTCCCCCGCTGCTACTGCTGCTGCTGCTGCTGCTGCTGCTGCTGCTGCAGCTGCTACCAGAAGGCTGAGAAAGAGAGAGGGACACAAGACTAGCTATCCGCCCCAAGCCAGCCCCGGGGCTGCTGTGCAGGTACGTGGCCACCGAGCCAGACCGCCGAGGCTCGGGAAGCAGGAAGGCTCGGCGCAGGCGCACGTTCTCCCCCGTGAGCGCTGCCACCTCAGCCACCGCCTCTGCCAGCTGGCGGCTTCCCGACAGCTTCGGATGATCGAATGACACCATGGCTTGCTGGTGGTGGGAGGGAGTGGGGGACAGGGATGCAGAGGGGAGTTAGTTGGGGGCTGTGAATGCCACCAACTCGGCCTCTTACTCTGCCTGGCAGCTGCCGGCTTTCCAACAGCTTCTGGTGGTCAAACGACACTGTGGCCTGCTGATGGTGGGAGGGAGTGGGAGGTTGGGGTGCTGAGTGGGGCATGTGTGTGGTGTGGGACAATGGGAGTGAAGAAAATCGAATGTCCACTTGAAAAGAGAGGGATGGCAGGTGGAGGAAACGCGAACTCACCAACACCACACCAACTACTGTTATGCAAACTACTCTTCCGCTATTTAATGCCACACTCACCTCGAGGTTCGCCAGAGGAAGAGGGAGGGGGAGAGAGGAGTGGTCGGAGGAAGAGGAGGAGGGGGGGGGAAGGCTCAATGCTGCGGCTGCTGCCTTGGAAACCTGCAGAAAGGGAACGAGGGGACAGAGAGAGGAGGGAGAGAGGTGGGATGAGAAGTCGGAGCGATGTGATGGTGGAGAGGAGTGGGTGCAGCGGAAGAAGAGCCCATGTTCGAAAGGGTATACTTGGAACCCTCTCAGCCCTCTCAACCCTCTCAACCCTCTCAGCCCTCTCAGCCTTGCACACCCGTCCGTGTGGGGATGACACACTCACCAACAGCATTTGAAGAAAACGATTTCACTCCTCGGGTTTCTTTGTCGTCGGTTCGCTACTCACTTCCTCTCTCAATGCAGGCTTCATCATCATCATCATCATCATCATCATCATCATCATCATCATCATCATCATCATCATCATCATCATCATCATCATCATCATCATCATCATCATCATCATCATCATCATCATCATCATCATCATCATCATCATCATCATCATCATCATCATCATCATCGTCTGAAAGCCCACCGCACGAGTCAACTCTTGAGGCCCCACTCACTCGCGTGTGCATTCATTTCCACTTCCAGTGCAGCCGCCAACCTTAAGGCTTGTGCTCGAAGACTCAGGGTTCAGGGTTTGAGGTTTAGATCCAAACACAGACCTTACAAGACGCACTCACAAGCAGCTGAAAGAGGTCGTTCTTTTCAACGAAGTCCGTCTCACACCTCCACCGCCACCGCTCCCACGCCCTTTGAGGCTCCTCACAAGCCACACAGGGAAGCACTCAGGAGCAGGTGGAAGAGGCTGGCACTCACCAGAAGCTGGAAAAGGTCGTTGCGTGCAACGAAGTCCGTCTCGCTGTTCACCTCCACCGCCACCGCTCCCACGCCCCGCCGCACCGCCACGCCCACCAGCCCCTCCGCTGCCACCCGCGCCCTCTTCTTCTGCGCCGCTGCCAGGCCCCTCCTCCTCAACTCTGTGAATGCCGCGTCTGGGGGGAGGAGGGAGGGAGGGGAGAGTGGAGGAGGGGGGAGGAGGGAAAGGGGAGGAGGTGGGTCGAGAGGGGAGGATGGGAGGAGGGGGGAGAAAGGTGGTGGTTGAGTGGTTCAGTCCCTCCCGCTCCCCCAGAAGCCCCTCAGCTGCCACCTGACAGCACCTCCTGCACATCCCACCCCCACCAGCACCGTGGAAAATGTAGGCAGCCGCTCGCTACAATACCGCCTCCCTACAGTACAGCCTCCCTACAGTACATCCTCGCTACAGTACCGCCTCGCTAGAGTATCGCCTCGCTAGAGTATCGCCTCACTACAGTATCGCATCGCTACAGCAACGCCTCACCCAGATCCCACCCGGCCGCCACCAGCGCCGCCTTCACGTCCTTCACAGGCGCGCCCGTGCGCGCGCGCAGCTCCTTGATCGCCGCGAGGTTCCCCCCTCCGCCGGATCCCTCCCTCGCGCCTGCTCCCTCGCCCGCGCCGCCCCCAGCTTGCGCGCAACGCCCGGCGCTGCTGCTGGCGGCGGAGAACGCGCGGGAGGTGGCGGAAAACAAGGCGGCGGCAGCCCAGGGGAGCAGCTTCGCGCGCAGCAGAGGGCCGCTGACGTCACTGGCGCACTTGCCGATCGCTGATGACGTCATTTTGAATCGGATCTGGAAGTATGGACGCAAGGTGGTGGAAGCGCCTGGCGATGGAGAATGAGCGGACGACGCGCGTGTGGTGGGGCGAGAGGTAGTAGCGGTGCTAGAGGCAGTGGAGACAGAGGGGAAGCGGGCAGCGGGCAGCGCGAAACGGAGCAGAGGGCGGGGCAGTGCGCAGCGCGAAATCTAAGACATACGATGAAGCTGACGGGTATCTGAGAGGGCCAGAACTGAGCAACCTCGCATGTTTTGATCTGAATGCTTCACTAGAACAGCCTTCACTAAATGTGTGTTTGTCAGTTCGACTTCCAGCCAAAAAGTTTCACTAAAACGACATTTATGCAACCAGGAATCGGAGACACTCGCATAACATGCCTAGTAATATGATCTCCATGACCAACACCGACATTGACACCGACACCATAATCATATTAAACCCTTCCAAATTTCTATCAACACACTTGACAGGTTTGGACAACTGTAAGACATTGGAACATTGTTTAACTAGCATTGATATGTTCGAACAAATGAGGGGTTTTGACAATTTGCGAAGGGGTAGGGCGTCGGATTTCAGCGAAAAATAGGCTGATTTAGGGTGTGGGCTGATATTTCAGCGATTTTTTCCAAGTGTACACTGATTGATCAGCGTAGGCTGTAATCAGTGTACACTAACGAGGGTGTAGGCTGAAACCCCGCTATTACAGATTAGTGAGGAGGTTCCGTTTGTGGATGGTGAGGGGAAACTTTTCTGGGTACCGTAATCTCGCTACTGTACGGGAATTTTATCCCCGGTTCATCTGGTTCGGCAGAATGATAAGTCGGTTTCTTATTTTTGTTTCGTCAGGTTCGGGATGAAACGCACCGAACAACCCTTTCCCGTTCCCTTGCCGTGGCAATCGGCCAGGGCCGAAGTTGCCTTCAGGCCTCACAGCCGTTCCATCGCTGCGTTACTGATAAACAGGTTCGGAATATAGGCGGGAACTCAGGCGTGCGGGCCTCTGGTCTGGTGCATCAACCCATCCAAATCTCCCCCTTGTTGATGGGCTTGCATGTCGGCGCAAAGTTACACGCCCTCAGTGCTCCCCTCTGGTGGCTGGCACGGCATGCCTGATGCATCAGTCAACCCAGCGAGCTCCCCTGGGCGGACTCGGTTGTCCGCTGAGATATATCAACCGGGCATCCTTAGTTTGCCCGCGGGCAAATAGCTTGCGTGGAGCGCCAGCTGGCGGCGCCCGTCTGAACGCATCGTTTGGTTTGACATGATTTTCTGGGCTTGCCATAAAAAAGTCAACGATTTTGCCGCAGCACATCAAGCTTGCCTGTAGAACAGGGTTACAGGGCGTTCATCGCGCTTGCTGCGCTGCCACGCCAATCCAACGGCGGTTGGAGCCGATGAAGCTCGCACCGCCATCTTCGAAGCTCGCACCACGCCATCTTTGGAAACTCGCACCGCCATTTTCGGAAGCTCGCACCTTTGGCCTGTTCGTAGCACGCCCAAAGCTCCGCCGCTGGTGCACGCCACGCCTCTCTCCCATCCCATCCCAAAACTCTCAGGCCGAGGCTCGGTAGAAGTACAGCATTCCGCCCGTCACGATGGACGTGCGGAGGCGATTGAATGAGCAAGGGAGCGAGGGGGGGCGTAGGGAGCGAGGGAGGGGAGCGACGGGAGCCGCGCGAGGGCGGGAGAGTGAGGATCGAGGGAGCGGCGGGACTAAAGTCCCGTCCGGGGAAAGCGCGGCCTTTTTACCACCGTTGTATAGGGTATTCGATATACAGTCTGGGAACCTCAAGTGCGCTGGGTCTCTCAAGTTTTCTTTAAGAATTTTGGAGTAGTTTCCGCTAGTAGCGGCGAGCGGAGACGGCGGGACTCCGCCAGCGAGGGAGCGACCGGTAGATCGAGAGAGCGACGGGGAGCGACTCGCTCCGCGGAGGAGCGAGATCCGCGACGCGACTCCGAGTCGGGAGGGAGGTGAGTGAGACAACTCCTTTTTGCAGATGTGTTGAGAATCGGGAGCGTGGGAGCTGCTGCCAGGGTAGAATCTCGGGTTGCCTCGCGGGGTCAAACAGTGGGGGCTCGACGGGAGTACTATCTGAGGTGGGGATCTTTTTGTAGTGGTGAAACCTTCTGTATGAACACATTATCCGTTTTCTGCATCTCCACGCTTTTCCAGCAAGCTGTACGTGTTCCCCTCAGCCACGCTTTCTACTACTGCGTACAAACCTCGTTCAGGTCTTGCTGCGCGCACTGCGATGAATCTGGGGGGGGCTTACGCGGCTCCAAGCCCGAATGATAATGTCGCGGCGGAGCCTGCCGCAGCGCGCCGCGGGCCCGGCGGGGCGACGCATCATCATGGTGGGCGCACCGTGCCAGCCGCTCTCGTGGCGATGCCACCGTGGCTGTGGATCGCAGCTTGCGTGGCCGTTGTTGTGTGCTGGCTGCTCGTCACCAGTGGCCCGGTGAGAAAAAGGAAGGCTTTCTGCGAAGCGCACTCGCAGGAGCTTCAATGGACAAGAAAAGGGTATCTGGTGGTTCAAACGCGCTGCATCTTTGCACGTGTGAGTCGAAGATCCGAATCGTATTCGGTCGGTACCTCAACTACTAGTAGGCTCCAATGTGTCACAATGCGTCACTCATGCACATTCAAATGGCACCAACGCATTAGCTTAGCTTCTTGGGCCCTGCCATGGAATATACATCCTCACCTCTCCCTGTTATCATCACTTCATCTCATATGCCTTACCCATTTCGGACTCATCATTATCAGATTTCGCTCCTTCGTTTTCAACAATTGGAAGTCTTGATGCTACCTTTTCCCCTCCTGGACATCCATCCCCTCCTGGACATCCATCCGCAAACCCCACCTTCCAGGCGGCCCACAGCCAGCTGCAGGACCCGTCTCCTCTCACATGGTCTCCCTTTGCAGGCACGCTTTAACAAGTGGAAGTCTGATGCTACTTTCTTCCCTCCTCCTCCTACATCCATCCCTAAACCCCCCACCCCACCTTCCAGGCTGCGAACAGTCAGATCCAGGACCCGTCCCCTCTCACATGGTCTCCCTTTGCGTGCACCCTTTAACAAATGGGAGTCTGATGCTACTTTCTTCCCTCCTTCTACATCCATCTGCAAACCTTTCACCCCACCTTTCAGGCGGCCAACAGCCAGCTGCAGGACCCGTCCCCTCTCACGTGGTCTCCCTTTGCGGGGGAACGGCCTGGCTGTATTCTCACCCTCGACTCGCGCTACAGCCCTGACGGCGTGCAGGCAGTAGAGGCGGCTGTAGCACAACTCATGCGGAACCTTGGGATAGAAGAAAAAGGGGACGGGGGTGGGCCCGGTGGGGGATGGTTAGTGAAAAGGGGAAGGAAACTGCGAGCAGTGGAGGGTGTTGTGGTGCAGCTGGTGAGGCATTTGGGGATGTGGGGGAAGGGAGGAGGCAAAGGCGGAGGGGGAGTGAGGGGGGAATGGGTAAGGGAAGGGGAACGGGAGGGGGAAGGGCCGGGGGAAGGGTGGACCAAGGGAGGAAAAAGCGCGAGAGGTACAAGAGAAGGGGGGATGAAGGAGGGTGGTTGGAGAAAAGGGGGAGGAAGGGGAGGAGGTGATGGGATAGGGGACGAGGGAGGCGGCTTGTTGGTCGATGAGGTGGGACAGGATGACGACGCTGCTGGCCTCCAGAAAGGGCAGGGAAGCGAGTCAGAGGGTGAAGGTGGGGAAAGTGACACACTGGAAAGGGGGCGTGGGCTGTTTTCGCGAGGGGACGAGGTGGCTGAGGTGTGGAGGCGGTTCTACGAGAGTCTGCCTAAGATGCTGGATGGCCATGGCAAGGAGCACATTAATAAGTTCCCCATCTGGCTCGCTCTTGCTGTCAACATGTGAGTGGGAGGTGTCAACATGTGAGTGAGTGGTGCCAATCAACATGTGAGTGAGCGAGGTGCCATGCCGTGCTGTCAACATGTGAGTGAGTGGTGCCAATCAACATGTGAGTGAGCGAGGTGCCATGCCGTGCTGTCAACATGTGAGTGAGTGGTGCCATGCTGTCCTGTGCATGCCCCAGCGTGTTTTACATAGGAGTCACGCAAAACTGTGAATTGCATTCGGCTAGTCTATTCCAAAACTGTGTTTGTTTCCAACGGTCGACAGTTTCCACATTCCATGTTCCCCCCACATTCCATGTTCCCCCCACATTCCATGTTCCCCCCACGTTCCATGTTCTCCCCAACCCCACAGTCCATTCTTCCCCTCCCATTCTGGCTGTATGCATGACGTCATGAGTGCCACCTACTGATGGAAGAGGAGTCAACTTGGTCTTCCAAGTCAAGCATGTCTTTTTTTTTTTTTTCATCTGCCCGCATCCGCAGGCTGTACGCACGGCGGCATGGGTACCGGCTGGTGGTGGAAAACGGGTCGAATTTCATTCACGATAGACATCCGGCATGGTTCAAGGTGAGGTGAACAGCAGTTAACACCCAGAAAGTGTGAGGGGGAAACAGCTATGGCACGTGAAAACAGCCATTGTGGTGCACCCAGCATCGTTCAAGTATCTTCTTAAGCTTCTTCTTCCCCTTTTTTGTATTTTTGAAGGGAGAAGTTACTACTAGAAGGAGGCAACCGGTGCACTGGTTGTGGTTCAAGGATAATAAGGATGCATGCTCGCATGTGTATCTTGCCTATGCACCCGATTACTGCACCTTGCACGCGCTCCTTTATGCCCACTCTTGTATCCACACACAGAGTGCATGGTCACACCCGCACATATATGCATGCACGCACACACATGTATGCATGCACGCACACACGCACGCAAGGAATGACTGAACAATACTTCTCCTCTCACCCGTTCCCCCCTTCGTGACATCCACCTATCACTCTCAGCCACAGCTTGCACATGCAATAACGAGCGCACGTACGCTTGCGTACACATGCACAGTGGCATTATGCGATCATAACGTGCGCGTTGATACCTGTGCAGGTGCCCTTCATAGCGGAGCAGCTCTCCTGCTGCTGCAAGTGGGCGTTGTTCCTCGACTCGGATGCATACATGCGATCATATGAGCTTTCTATTGAAATGTGCGCGTTGATACTTGTACAGGTGCCCTTTATAGCGGAGCAGCTCTCCTGCTGCTGCAAGTGGGCCTTCTTCCTTGACTCGGATGCATACATGCGCATGAACCACCACCAGCTCTCCATTGAAGCTTGGATACAAGCCATAAAGCAACCGGTGAGCCTGCTCTTATCATGAAGCCGTCCTGCTCTTATCATAAAGTCATCCTGCTCTTAACCTTGATTCCATGAAGCAGCCGTCCTGGGCTACGTTCTACACCCATCGGTTTCCACTGTTATCGTTTCGCGTATGAAGCTTTTACTTTGCTGTTATTTGTTCCTTTCCTGTCCATTTCTCCCACGTTGGCTTTCTTACCGACCAAAGTTGACTTTCCGACTCTGACTTACCAACTGTTCATCTCCAACCCCACAAATCCGATCAACTGCCCTTGACTGAAAGTCTCCCACAAATCCGATCAACTGCCCTTGACTGAAAGTCTTCCACAAATCCGATCAACGGCCCTTGACTGAAACTCTCCCTCCCTTCTTCTCCCTCATCTCAGCCACAGCCACTGATATCTCAGCTTCTTCATTTAACAGGTCAACGGGTGCCAAACAGAAAGAATTGCTCAAGGGACCTTTTTTTGCTCAAGGGGCTGCACCTCAAATCAAGACCTATCTCTCCCTTCCCCGTTGTTCTTCATCTCACCGCTCTCTTCCCCACACTCTCTCACTCACCCCTCCCTCTCCCCTCCTTCCTCTTCTCCCTTGCTTCAGAACTATTTCAGCTGGTTGACAGATGCCAATGTGACGGCCACTCTCAAGGGCCAGGTGTGGGTCCCGCAGGACCCGGCTCTGCTGCTACAGCCCGCCACCGTGCTACAGCCGAACGGACCAATAGCGCTCATTCCTAGGAATGGCGATTCCCGAGGGGGTTACTACGGGCGGCCGGAGACTCTGTTTGAGGAAGGGTGTGACTTCATTAATTCCGGTGTCATGCTGTGGCGCCTGTCTCCTTTGACCTTTAAGGTGAGAGCAAGGGGTGTTACACTGTTTCGCAATAAAGCGAGGAATTTACGGGGAATACACTGTTTTGTGGGTGCTGCTTTGGAAGGCAATGAGGGATGAGTAGGAAGCCATCACGTGGTACAGCTCCACTTGATTGTTTTGTTACGTTAACGAAGTCATCATATATGATGCCCTCCTATCCAAACGCCTTGCCCTTGCAGTTCTTCAGGCACTGGTACGACTTGGGAGGAGACATGTACCATCGATATTACCCTCCGTGGGAGCAGCCGTACCTGAATTGGGTTGCTCGGGATTCAAAATGGAGGAACAAGATGGTTGTGGTTCCGTATCGCAAGCTTACGGGCCCCCAAGGAATGATGGTGCGACATGTGTGGGGTGATATGCACTGGAAAAATCGCGATCAAATGGTGCTTGAAGCATTAGAGATGCTTAGCACACACAAGTGAATTTCAATGTGTGATGTGTCATGTGTTGAGTGTTGTGGGTAGCTTGATAAACTGTTAGCACTGACCCACTTCTTTTACAGTACCCTACCATGCTTCTCAAGAATGATCTACGGTAATCATGGCACTCATTTACCGTAATGAAGCCCCCATATTCTTCGGCTTGTATGCTGGTAAAATTGCCACACTCAAATTTGACAAGATATACGGTAGGCGAAGCTTTTGCAAAATCAATCAACACATCACATGGTTTCCCCCTCAGTTCCGGTATTAAAGCCCGAGTACAGCATGGTTTTGTTGAAGTTCAAGATTCTTGAACTTGAAATCGCCAAAAGCGGGGTTACCCTACTTTGTTTGAGCTTTCTCTCGCGACCTTGGGACGACGCCTAGCGACAATCTCTCCTGATTGGTTCTGGGCTCAATCGCAAAACTGAACTGCTCACATGGGGGTCAAATGAAGTGCAACCTGGTAACATTTCCACCCATTTTCACCCGAATGAGGTACCGGTACCGGTACCAGTATGTCATCCACCTATGAGGTCCCTGTCTTCTCTATGAGTCCATAAGCAGCATAAATATCAAACGAAATCGTTCTGATAAAAAAGTCAGGAAATCAACCCTGAAGTTTGATATGATAGGGGTAAGTAATCTACAGCTTATACACCAGAAAAAAACAGTGATATTGTACATGTGCCATTCCGACCACCATTGTTGCTACCAGCAATCAAACATGCCAACTGCACCCCCTTTCCTCATCATGTCCCTTGCGCCCACTGCAGTAGCTCCAACCACAGCTACGGATACTGCCTTAGCTGGTGTCTGGCCGACGTCTAGTGACCAAGAGAGCTCCAGCTGGTGTGCCCCATGCCTAAACCTCCACCACATCCCTTTCCCCATCGTCAAAGCCTTCCCTCAAAACCCACTGTAGCAGCTCCAATCACAAGTTACGGATATGCCTTCGCTGGCTTGTGGGCAGCACCTAGTGATCGGAAAAACCCCAACAGGTTGCCGGTGCCGAACCCTCCACACCCCCCTTCTCACCCACTGTCAAGCCATTTACAAGTTGCGGATATGCCTTGGCTGGCGCCTGAGTGACATCTAGTGATCGAAAGAGCTCCAGCAGGTTGCCGGTGCCGAACCCTCCACATCCCCCCTTACCCACTGTCACCCCCTTCACTGTCACCCCCTTTGAACTGTGTCGAGTGATCGAAAGAGCTCCAGCAGGTTGCCCGTGCCGAACCCTCCACAGCCCCCTCGAGGGAACTGCTGCAGGGGGACGGCCTTGAGGCCCTTGCTCACTCCCTTCCTCTGAAGAATCTCAATGAAGACTGTGGGTCTGTGGGTGGGCGAGGAAGAGAAAATGGAACGGAAGGGACGGGAGGAAGAAGCACGTTATCGGCAGCGCTGACAGGTGTTGCAGGTGCTGCAGCGGCATTGATCACCTTGGGACCCTTCGTCACACCCCCCTCGGCAAAACTGCTGCAGGGGGACGGCCTTGAGGCCCTTGGTCACGCCCACCCTCTGAAGAATCTCAATGAAGACTGTGGGCCTGTGCGGGGGCAGGGCGAAGACACAAGCGATCAACAGCGGTGACAGGTGTTGCAGCTGCTGCAGGGGAATAGCCTTGGGGCCCTTGGTCACGCCCACCCTCTGAAGAATCTCTATGAATACCTTGGGCCTGTGCGGGGGAGCAAGGAGGGGGGATGCGACGGGAGGGGGAAGGGAGGGGGAAGGGAGGGGGAAGAGAGGGGGGGGGGGGAAAGGGAAAAAGCCTGTCATTGATAGGGCTGACAGGAGGCGGTGCTGCAGCAGGGGCATTGAATCTCTTGATCCACTCCCACCCTCTGACTTGAATCTTGATGAAGGAACGGATAGGGTGGGCCTGTGAGATAGCGAGGAAGAGGGAAGGGAGGGAAGGGAGGGAAGGAAGAAGCATGTTGGCAACAGCGCTGACAGGTGTCGCAGCTGCTGCAAGAGAAATGACCACCCTGGAACCCTTCTTTACTCCCCACCCTCTGACGAATCTTGATGAGGAGAGTGGGCCTGTGGGTGGGGGAGAGTGGAGGAGGGACGGAACACGCATCTCGTATACTGGGCTGACAGGTGGTGGTGTGGTGTGGCCGCTGCTGCGGACATAATTCCGTTCGGCCTGTGAGAACGCGAGGAAGAAGGAACGGAAAGACGGAAGGCACATGTCGTAGACTGGGTTGATAGGTGGCACGGCCGCTGCAGCAAAGCTTATTCCGTTGGGCCTGTGGGTAAGAAAGGAACAAAATATGGCATGGGTTGCGGTGATTGATAGGTGGAGCCCGGCCCGGCTTCACTAAGACGCACGTGGGGTTGCTCATGAGGAGAGGGTGGGCCTGTGGGGAGGCTAAGGTGGGGTGTCTTTGAGAATGATCAGAAACACCTGTCCTTGGATTGGAAGCAAGGGAGGATAATGTACCAACGCATGAGGCCCATGAATTGTGCACATGACCATTCTCACATGTCCCCCATAGAGACGTGACAAACGTCTACAGCAGAAAGCAGCACACCTTTCTCGCACATGGCCACACATTCTCACCTCTCTCTCGCTCAAATGACCACGCACGCACGCACGCACGCACGCACGCACGCACGCACGCACGCACGCACGCACCCACCCACCCACCCACGGTCACCTGTCCCCAATGTGCGCTGTGAAGATCTGCAGCAGAACGCCCCCAGCGTCCACATCCACGAGAATCCCCAACTCCTCATACTCGCCCGTCTCCTCCTCACTCATCAAACTCCCCACCCGCCCCGCCAGCTCCCTATAATACTTAGCCGAGGGCCTCGGCAGGAACGCAAACCCCCCCATTTCGCTCCTTGCTTTCATCTCCTTCACGGCTTTGACTATGTCCTATGCCATAGCACGTATGGCTTTGACTATCTGCTGCACATTAGTGCTATGTGCTGCACTCCTCCTCCGTTATAGTGCTCTAGGAAGGTTTCGACCTGCGTCTTGTAAGGGAGGCCGGGCGCGGGTTCCATTATAGGGAGGATGACAGTCTCCCAGTCATTAGCGAGCACAGTACTGTTCACGCCGAGGCCAGTGGGGTCCACGTCAGCACAGACGGATTTCTTCTTAGGAGTGGCAGAACCGACAGCAGCAACACCACCAGTGGCAGCTCCAGCAGCAGCACCGATACCTATTGCTCCTCCTCCCACTCCTCTCCCTGTCCCGATTCCGTCTTGCTTCCCCTGCTGCCTCCCCCGAAGCACACGAATCTGTGAACTCGTGAAATCCTGCAAATCCCTTGATTTACCGAACCACATCCGCCAGGCTCGGCACGTTCCCAACCACATGGTCGACCCTGAAAAGGCCGAAGCTCATCACTTGGTTCGATGCCGCCTCAAAGGCTGGGAGAAACGGGCCTGAAAACGATTTCGGGTTCACAAACCGTAGCACTGTGTCGCCGTATAGAGTCACCTCAATATAGTCACACTCCCACCTTGGCCGTTCGGTTTGATGTATGTGACCGTAACGGGAGGACAGATGGAAATAGCTCAGTTATCTACACTCGTTTGGTAAGCCGCTTCCACGTCCTCCACTTTAACTCCGATTGCCCGCACTCCAAACCATGCAGAGCGGAAAATTCACGGGCATCCCGTCGCGAAAATCCTGGAAACGGAACTCGGGAATTCCTAGGGTGTCCAGCCTCCCCAGTTACTCTCCCCAGGGGTTCTGTACGCGATGTAGCTGCTGCTTCGGAATAAGGCGCCGTGAACACCAGCTCCAAGTCCTCCGCTTTCAGCACGTAACTGCAGAACGTGTGGTTACTCGTCGTCTGGTCCGATTTCGCCACGAGCGGCAGTCCCATGCCCCACGAGAATCGTCCGTACGTGTTAGTAGCATCTCCGCACCAAAACTCGATATGGTGAAACCGGTCCACTTTAAACTTATCCGTGCGCGGGTTGTTCCGTAAAAAATTCCCAAATCCGACGAGCCCTGTGGGTGTCATAGTAGCAGCGGAGTCCGCGCTGCGGTGCTCGTCGCTCTCGTCTTCATCCTCGTCGTCGAATTCTTCGTCGGACGAAGCAGGACCTTACGTGTCCAGACTCACGCACCCGGCCTTCTCCAGGCTCTGAAAAAAAGCGTCTTGAATTCGTTGAGCTATGTTTCCTAGCATGGCGGTCCATTTAATATTCGAAAACAAGCGTTGTCTGATACGGTCTGCGAATCCTTCGACGGTCTGCTGCGAAGCTAGTAACGGTCAGCGTTGCCGCCTATGGACAGAGTGGGTTCCAGCGGTCGGTGGCTTCGACAGGCTGCGTGGCCTGAAACGGGATTACTCTAGCCGTTAACGGGCTTGTTGCGAGTGCAATTGAGTGAAAGAACGAAGTTTGCACTATCGAAGCAAGAGTACAATGAGAAGGAATGAGCGAACATTATATAGCGAAGTCATGCGTGGTAGTGGTAACGCGCGAGGATGTGATGCGCGTCGAGCCTGGCGCCGAGGTTGGGAATTGTCGAGGCGGTAGGACCGAAGCGCGGGTTACCAACCGAATCGTGGAGATGGGTCGCGATGTGAACAGTGGCCGGAACAGTGGTCGAGGCGAGTGTCGCAAATGGTAACGTTTTACTGTTGGGTGCTGTTGGCGGGAACAGTCGTGAACGCGGTAAGCAGGGGCGCGAAGTAAGGAATATGAGTTTTCCTTACACTACCCCCTTCCCGAAGGAGGCCGTCCTTACGAGAGTGCGTGTATATCCCTGAAGTTGCGGTTGCACAGATACTCGGTCAGCACGGGGTGGTTTTCGATTCTATCCAGGGGCACCCAGTTGTCTTCGGTTGGCGTTCTTTCCAACGAATCAAGAATGGGTTGTGTGGGTCGGCAATGCGTAGCACGGGCGGTGAACAGAGAACATTTTGCAGGGTAGAGAAGGCAGCATGCTCTTTCTTCCCCCACGTAAAAGCGACCCCCTTCCGCAGCAAATGTGTCAGCGAGGCTGTTAACCGTGCCGTGTCGGGGACGAAGCGACGCACATAATTAACGAACCCTAAAAAACTCTGCAGCTCTGTAATGTTTGTCGGGAGGTGCCATGCCTTGACCGTGTCCTTTTTTTTTAGGTCTATTTCAACCCCAGCTTCCAAAATGACGTGCCCCAAAAACTCTAACATGTCCTGAAAAGCTCGCACTTTGAACCCTTGGTCAGTAGCCGATGCTCGTCTAAGATTTTAAACAATGCTTCCAAATCTGCTAAGTGCTGCTGCTTGTCCTGGCTGTAAACTAAGACGTCGTCGAGGTAAACTATGACGCATTTATCTAGAAGTGGCTTGAATGACTCGTTCATGGTCATCTGAAAAGTCGCGGGCGCGTTGGTCAGCCCGAAGGGCTGATAAGAAACAAGGAATGAATGAACTATGAATGAATTGGGTACAAGTACTAACCCTAATTGGGTTGTACCCCTTATGGGCTACCCCACTATAGCCTACACAATATGCATGAGCTATAATGTTCTGACACACCCCCATAGGCAAAGTGGGGGAGAACAAGGGGTCACAAGACCAGTCAAGTAAAGTAAAGCAAAGCAAGCTCAGGGTGGATCACAAAGTCACCACACATTCCGAGCACAAGTTCAAGGCCACAAGGCCAGTTCACATGCAGGAGTACATATATATATAAAGGCTAGACAAGCAAGAGCAGGTATATATATATGTAACAGCACAAGCAAGGTCAAGAGGTGAGCAAGTGAGGCAAGGTAGACACAAGGCCCAGCTGAGTACAGAAGCGCTGATGGTCACAAGGCGCAAGCGCCTTGGTGAAGATATCAGCAGTGTTGGCCTCAGAGGCCACGTACGCAAGACGCAGCTGACCACGCTGCTGCAGCTCACGAGCAAGAAAGTAGCGGAGAGCAATGTGCTTCGTTCTGTGCTCCAGTCGCTGCTCCCGACACAAGGCCAGCATGGCCTTGTTGTCTACGTACAGCACTGGAGGAGAACGAGGCAGCTCTCCGAGGTCAGTCAGCAGGTAGGTGAGCCAGCGAAGCTCCTGTGCAGCCATGGCTCCTGCGTAGATCTCAGCCTCACAACTGGAGCCGAGAACAGAAGACGAGCGGGTAGCCCGCCACGAAACAGAGCCGGAACCAAGGCTGAAGGTGTAACCCTGTGACGACCGCTGCGTAGCCTGGTCGTCAGCCCAAGAAGCGTCTGCGTGCCCAGTAAGGACCACTGGACTCTGCCCTCCAAGCACAAGCCCCATGCCCGACGTACTGCACAAGTAGCGCAACACCCTCTTCGCTGCAGCCATGTGCTCCGGTCTGTGTCTCCCAGGAGCAACATAGCGTGCAAGAATGCTAAGAGGGTATGCAAGGTCAGGTCGTGTGCAGGTCATCAGGTACATGAGGCAGCCAACAAGCTCTGGGTACGGGCCACTCGACTCTACGGACTCATCCGAAGGCAGAGCTGAGAGCGAGTGGCGAGTAGGCAGAGGAGTGGCCTGAGGCGAGGAGTACGTGAAGCCGAAGCGCTGAAGGACCTGCTGCACCATGTGTGACTGAGTCAGGGTAATGATGCGGCGTGCTCTGTCCCGAGTGATCTGCAAGCCAAGGTAGCTGCGCAGTTCACCCAGGTCAGTGCACGTGTGTCTCTTCTGCAGCTCGGACTTCACGTGGGCTAGTCCAGCAGTGTCAGCTGTGGCAAAGACCAAGTCGTCGACGTACACGAGGATGTAGAACGGCGGCAAAGAAGTGTCGGTGCGCAGAAACAGCGACGGGTCGGCAGTAGAGGGAGCAAACCCAAGAGCCGCAAGTGTAGTCCTCAGTGTGTCGTGCTACTCACGCGGTGCCTGGCGGAGACCGTAGACTGGCCGCCGTAGGCTCCACTGGGTGCCAGGAGGAAAAGACCCAGTGAAGCCAGGTGGGCGACGCAGCCAGATCTCCTCGTGCAGGCTGCCCTGCAAGAAAGCAGTGCTGAAGTCAAGAGAGTGTAGCTCGTAGTCACGGTGAGCAGCTACGTGCAGCAGTACCCGAAGAGTGGTCATCTTCGGGGTGGGAGAGAAGGTCTGAAAGTAGTCAACTCCCTGCCGCTGACTGAAGCCACGAGCCACGTAACGCGCCTTGAAGACAGGCGGAGAACCCGGCGGTCGCTTCACCCTGAAAATCCACATGCCACTGACGATGTTCGCCCCAGGAGGGGGAACAGCGTCAACGTAGGTGCCTGTGGACTTCCAGGAAGCCATCTCTGCGTCCATAGCTGCCTACCACTGAGAGGAGTAGGGACCCTCTATCGCCTCCGCGTAAGAGCGCGGAGTCGGGATGTCAAGTGCATCCGGGTCTCCCTCAGGGGTAAGCAGTACGGACACGAGATGAGGTGAAGGAGCGGCCAAGCACTGGAACTCCTCCTGCCTGTCCTCAAGGACGTCCGTGCCAAGGGCACACTCACCCCCGACGGACGGAGGACAGACAGACTCAGACTCAGCAACAAGACTGGCGACGTAGTCTAGGCGACAGCGAGCAGCAAAGTCGACGAGCTCAGCAACTAGGGCAGACGCAGCAGTGGACTCAAAGGAAGGGTCAGTGACAACAGTAGCAAGGAGACGCGTGACAGTAGGACTGGCAGCACGAAGAGAGTCCGACTCCGGGTCGGCAAGAGCAGGAAGAGAAGACTCAGGAGGAGAAGGCAAAGGGGCACGCAGAGGAGCAGTGGACGGACGCAGAGACATCCGGTGCGTGCCAGGGACAGGAGGAGGACGCTGACGCGAACCGCGACCACTAGTGCGAGCAGCACGGACAGGCGACGCAGGGCGAGACGCAGGCTCACGACGCTCAGCAAGACCTCCAGTAGGACCAGTGTAGGGAGACGGAGCAGGCAGTGGGGA